GAAGAAAAGCCTGGGGAATCAGAGGCTGTCAGCAGGTGAGAAAAACAATCCTTTTATGTATTTTGATGTCAGGCTAAACTGAAACCAGGGAACCAGCACAAACACTGAAAGGGTTTGAAAGTCCACACTCAATATTAGAAAATCAAGATGACTTAGCAGAAAAGCTTCTAAGCAAAACATAAATGTATAATTGTCATATGCACTTATGTAATTAATTGAAAACCAACAGAAAATGAGAATGGCAACAACTTGTCTTATGTTTCCCTAAAGCTTTCTCCTTGACTCAGATGTTTATGTATTAACTTCAATATGTGAATATAGGTACTATTTTTACAATATGTAAATAAACTTACATATTTGTATACTAATAAAAATTTGCCAGTATAGTCACGAGAATGCAGCAATATGCCAAAATCACAGACACAATTTTTAATCATAGATTAAACATCTTCTAAAAGCTGAAAATGCAATCCTAAAACAAAACATAGATTTTAATAGGTTTTCAGGAAATCAACATTATCTCTTATAATAGAACATAGCCTCATAAGAATAACAAGCTCATTTGGTAACAGAGGGCCTTTCTTACTCCCAATGTGAGATCTGTCTCTGAATACTTACACAAAAATAGTTTTCAGTTACAGACTGAAAAAAAATACCAAACAACATATTTGCAGCATTATTATTTTTTGTCTTGCACTGCCCAGCAGTTGAACTCCATTCTTACTAGACCGAAATTCCCCTTGTTTGCATCCTAGAGGGAGACAGGGCCCCAGTTTTGGGGTACATGTGAAGAACATGCAAGATTGTTGCATAGGTACACACCTGGCAGTGTGATTTGCTACCTTACCCCCTTCACCTATATCTGGCATTTCTCCCCATGCTATCTCTCCCCAACTCTCCACCCCCCGCTGTCCCTCCCCTATTTCCCCCCAACAGAACCCAGTGTGTGATGCTCCCCTCCCTGTGTCCATGCGTTCTCATTGTTCAACACCCGCCTATGAGTGAGAACATGGGGTGTTTGATTTTCTGTTCTTGTGTCAGTTTGCTGAGAATGATGGTTTCCAGATTCATCCATGTCCCTACAAAGGACACGAACTCATCGTTTTTGGCTGCATAATATTCCATGGTGTATATGTGCCACATTTTCCCTGTCCAGTCTATCATCGATAGGCATTTGGGTTGGTTCCAGGTCTTTGCTATTGTAAACAGCGCTGCAATGAACATTCGTGTGCATGTGTCCTTATAGTAGAATGATTTATCATCCTTTGGACATATACCCAGTAATGGGATTGCTGGATCAAATGGAATTTCTATTTCTAGGTCCTTAAGGAATCACCACACTGTTCCACAACGGTTGAACTAATTTATACTCCCACCAACAGTGTAAAAGTGTTCCTATTTCTCCACATCCTCTCCAGCATCTGTTGTCTACAGGTTTTTTAATGATCGCCATTCTAACTGGTGTGAGATGGTATCTCAATGTAGTTTTGATTTGCATTTCTCTAATGACTGGTGATGATGAGCATTTTTTCATATGTTTGTTGGCCTCATGTATGTCTTCTTTTGTAAAGTGTCTGTTCATATCCTTCACCCACTTTTGAATGGGCTTGTTTGCTTTTTTCTAGTAGATCTGTTTTAGTTCTTTGTAAATTCTGGATATCAGCCCTTTTTCAGATGGGTAGACTGCAAAAACTTTTTCCCATTCTGTTGGTTGCCGATTCACTCTAATGACTGTTTCTTTTGCTGTGCAGAAGCTGTGGAGTTTAATTAGATCCCATTTGTCTATTTTGGCTTTTGTTGCCAATGCTTTTGGTGTTTTGGTCATGAAGTCCTTGCCTATGCCTATGTCCTGAATGGTTTTGCCTAGATTTTCTTTTAGGGTTATTATGGTGTTAGGTCTTATGTTTAAGTCTTTAATCCATCCGGAGTCAATTTTAGCGTAAGGTGTCAGGAAGGGGTCCAGTTTCTGCTTTCTGCACATGGCTAGCCAGTTTTTCCAACACCATTTATTAAACAGGGACTCCTTTCCCTATTGCTTGTTTTTGTCAGGTTTGTCAAAGATCAAGTGGCTGTAGATATGTTGCACTGTTTATGAGGCCTCTGTTCTGTTCCATTGGTCTATATCTCTGTTTTGGTACCACTACCATGCTGTTTTGATTACTGTAGCCTTGTAGTATAGTTTGAAGTCCGGTAATGTGATGCCTCCTGCTTTGTTCTTTTTGCTTAGAATTTACTTGGCTATGTGGGCTCTCTTTTGGTTCCATATGAAGTTTAAGGTGGTTTTTTTTCCAGTTCTGCGAAGAAGGTCATTGGTAGCTTGATGGGGATAGCATTGAATCTGTAAATTACTTTGGGCAGTATGGCCATTTTCAAGATATTGATTCTTCCTAACCAAGAACATGGAATGTTTCTCCATCTGTTTGTGTCCTCTCTTATTTCGTTGAGCAGTGGTTTGTAGTTCTCCTTGAAGAAGTCCTTTATGTTCCTTGTTAGTTGTATTCCTAGGTATTTTATTCTTTGTAGCAATTGTGAATAGCAGTTCGTTCTTGATTTGGCCCTCTTTAAGACTGTTATTGGTGTATAGGAATGCTTGTGATTTCTGCACATTGATTTTGTATCCTGAGACTTTGCTGAGGTTGCTTACCAGTTACAGAAGATTTTGGGCTGAGACGATGGAGTCTTCTAGATATACAATCATGTCGTCTGCAAATAGAGACAATTTGACTTCATCCTTCCCTATTTGAATACCCTTTATTTCTTTTTCTTGCCTGAATGCTCTGGCTTGACTAGTTGTTTAGGCAACTCACCTAAGTTTGGCCAACTAGGTGCTATATGGTAGACGCCCTGACAGTGATGACTTGACTTGACCATACCCTGAGAAAGACCCTGTATGGCAGTCACACCTGAATGTGCTCAGAGTTCTGAGCTAAAGAATACAAATCCAGAAGTGGCCAATCCACAAATCCATTCCTTATTTTTGAGGAATATCTCAGCTCTATCCAGTCCAGGATCAAGGCCCTTTGTTTTAGGTTCCGTGAAAGTTGCCAGGTGGAGACTGTCACAGCAATCATGCTAAGTGAAGATGCTATAGGAACTGCATGCTTGGCCGGGCGTGGTGGCTCACGTTTGTAATCCTAGCACTTTGGGAGGCCGAGGTGGGTGGATCACCGGAGGTCAGGAGTTCAAGACCAGCCTGGCCATCATGGTGAAACCCCATCTTAAAAAAAAAAAGAAAGAAAGAAAGAAAGAAAGAAACTGCATGCTTTTGGCAAGTTGTGCTGTTCTTCTGCCCAGCCTGCCACCAGTGGACTTTCCCCTGTATGTAAGGCCCGAGTAAAACTCCATGTCTTGTATGCTGGCTCTGGGTCTCTTCTTTGACCTCTTAAACCTGGTGCCATCCCCACTGGAATCCATAGGAGGTCAGCACAATGGATTTTCCTACTCTGTCTTTCAACCTAGAAGATTGACTCAAGGCAGTGAGTCAAGTTACTGGACAATTTGTGAGTTCTTCTTAACTCCTCATCACTGCTCTTTCTCCCTTAGGGTGTACCATTTTTCTAAGCCTGGCTCTTCAATATTCCTTTTTTGTAAGTTCTTTTTTTATGTTTAAATCAGCTGATGTTGGAATTTGTTGCTACAACCAGGCTGATAACCACTAAGCAAGCTGGTGTAAGCTTTTCTCTCTTATTTGCAGGAACTCAGGACTGGAAAGGTAATGGTTTTGTCTAAGTGCCTTTCTTGAAATTTCTTGCAAGTCAAAATAACAACTTCTTGATGCAAATGAATATAATTTCAAAGAGTCAGGGAGAGTTGACGAAACTTTCTAAAAATGGAATGGAATCCTTAAATGGGTTCAAAAAGCAAAAGGAGAGAATGCAATTTTAAAAGCCTTCATTTCAAAGCAAATGCTTCCAAACCCTAGCATGACAGACTCTGCTCAACTTCTGCTTCTCAACCAGTGGCAAACTTGCCACTCAGCAGACATTAGCCATGAATGCAGACACTGCAACTCAGGGAGGTGGGGGTGTGTTATCAGCATCAAGGAGGCAGAAATGCTAGTAAATATCGTGCCATGTACATGGCAACACCCATGACAAAATATTTTCTGATCCAAAATATCGATAGTGCCAAAGTTGAGAAACCCTGCCTTACACCATTACCTCTCTTTAAATCATATATAAGTAAAGTTCCACAGTTTGAATAACTTTCCCACAGTTCACAATTCCCAAATACTTTTTATAATTACTTCTGAAACCTTATTTCTACCCTAATGTTAATAAAAGAGAAAAATAACTCATCTCTTAATGTCACGGTCCACCTAAGAACTACACAAATGGGAAAGAATTCAAAAGAGCAAATAAGCCAAAGGAATGAAATATATTCAAAGAACATATACAAAGGCCTGGGAGTGTCTAAAGGAGAACATCCAGGGTGAAAAAAAGGGTTGTGTCCATGGCCAAGAATTTTGGAAAATGAAGGTTGGAAGGAATGCTATGACCAGATTCCAAAGCATCTTAGACACCACAGCAATCTGGATTTTATTCTCTGGATAACAGCATTTTTTAAGAAATACATTTTTAAGTGTCATAGAGAGAAACATGTTGTTTCTTAGGAAGAACACTCTGGTGGTCATCTAACATGAGCAGAGTCTGGTGACAGGGAAGACAGGGGACTCTTTCAAAAATACAAGATCTGGAGAGGAGCTAAAGGTGATGGTAATGTGAATGAAGAGCCAAGATCAGGGGAAGATTGACACATTCTCAGAATTTGCCATTCTCTCCCTATAAAATCAGCATCATTTAGCACTGTAAAACATAAACTGAAGGCTATAAAAACTGTCTACATGAGTTAACACCCCTGTATTCATTTCCAGTGCATATCAAAAGAGAAACATGGCAACATATTTCAATGCATTAAGAGAATTCAAGGCTCTACAATGAGAATGTATGCTATTTGATTTCTATATGACTTCCAATATATATAAAAGTTTATGACATTACCTGCTCCAGAACTTCTTTATAGGTAAACGCTGCTTTAGTGTTTGTAACAGGACTGTCATAGATGATGGCAATCTTATCCCCTTTACCATTTTCAATGTGACGATCAATGGCATTGTAACAAATGTTAAGCATTCCTTCCACAAACCTGAAAAATAATTGAAAAGTAAAAATGAATGATTGCTTTGAAAATATATTGTCACTTAACTAAGTTATATTTCTTGTTTGGTAGAGCTGGCCTTGAAACAATGTTTCCTGGTGCATTCTATGTCAGGTAATGACATCTGTAAGCTAGATATTTAAGATGGCACACAGTGTACTTTTTTATTTTAATAAATATGTATTTTGATGTCTCATATATATACATCTCACACTTCCAGCTGATGACTTTGTGGATTTTATTGCTTAGAATAAAACTAGAGTAGACATCACAAAAGTCGCCCTTTTTACCCAGATGAAATAAATTGTATGTAAGTGTAGTGAGAGGCACTGGGGATTGTGAAAGGGCAAATGGCAGATGTCTGAAGTTTTGGTGCCTGCTACAAATAGAACAACTTACTGAAAAATTCTTTTCTTCTCTGAAAGAGCTATATGTATTTTTTATTTCAGTTAAATGTGATGCCTTCAATTTCACAAAGAATAGATAATCTTTCTGCACATTTGAAATGCTTCACAATTTGAACAAAGAAGGGACATTCATATAAAATATTTTTATAAACCTTTGCAATTCAGTGCTCTTCATCTCTTAATTGATCAGTGTTTTCCTTTGAAAACACAGACATCATGTAGATACATGGAATAACTGTTTAAGGAAATATAACTCATTTTTCCAAAAGAAAAAGCTTTACATACACCACGTTTTTAGTAAAATGGGGATTAGAATAAAATATGCAAGTATAGTAATGGTCCATTTCTTCCAAAGTCAGACTACCAAATACTGTAACAATGCAAAATAACAGTAAAGTATATTGAAGCAAGAAGAAACGCTCTTTTTAAATAGCTGAGTATCACTTTCAGGTATTTGCTTAAAGAGCCCTGTGTGAAATGAAGCAGTGGATTAAAAGTAGCTATAGAGATAGTGGCAGCACTAAAAAATAATAGCCACAGAAAGCAGCAGGAGGAAGAATCATTTAATCAGGGTCAAATGGTCCTATGTATTTCAATACTAGCGAATTTGACTACCTACAGCTAGCACAGAAGTAATTAATATCATGATTCTGATTTCCTATGTGATTGATCTCATGTTTGTTCAAAAACAGTACCTCTTCCCAATGCCCTACTTTTAGTAAAAGTATTTTGTCTCTTCCCCTTGACCCTTCCTCCATGGGTGGAAACTATGTCTCTTGATTTGGGGCTCATTCATGTACTTGCTTTGGCTCATGCAAAGTCAGCAGACATGATGTAAGCAGAGGCTAGCTCTTCTGCACCACTACCTTCTCCAGGAACAGTCTCCCAGGGTATAACTCCTCCCTCCTCAACATGGCACCAAGAATGAACATCTGCAGGTGGAAACAGAGGCCAAAAGCAGCAGGGAGCCCACCTCAGCTAGATTCATGTATTCAAGCAATGCTCCCAAACACCCCCAACTTAGATCAGCTGATGCCTTGACAACCTGCAAATACATGGAAATAAACTCCAAATAGTTTGTGCTACAGAGATTTTTCTGGTTCCTGGTTATACAGTATAATTGTAGCCATCAGTATCTAACACACTAAAAGGTAAAGTTGTCATTCTGTGGTAGAAATAAGGAAAGATGTTTTATAGAATTTCCCACGAAATCTGTGTCTTTCTTCCTGAAAAAAAAAAAAAAAAAATTCTGACAGGGGAACTATTTACTTGCTAGAATACTTCTTGATAACATCATTCTCTTTTCCTTTATGACTTCTACTATTCTTTGTGATCAATATTCAATTATGTTCATGATATTTTACCCAAAAAAGGGGCTTCCCTCAATTCTACAGAATTCACTTTGTCATTTATTTGCATTATTCTTCTACTTCTTTGCTGGTTCTTTTTCAGTATGTTTGTGGAATCTTGTTTTCTTCATCTTTTATTGGCTGTGATATCTCACGTTCCATATGCATCCCTTTGCTCACACAACAGTTTCTCCATGGGTGAAGTCTATACTCTTCTGGTTTCAACTTCCACCTTTATCTCCAACCCTAACCTTCTTTTCTGAGCTCCATACCTTATAGCTGAGAGTCTGACAGACATCTTTACTTAAAAAGAGTAACATGCCTAATACTATACTCATTTCACCCCACTTCCATCCCAACTACAAACCTGCTCCTCCTCCTGTTTTCTATATTTCAAGGAAATATGTTGCATCCAGTGGCCTGAATTAGAAACTCCAAAGTCAGATTTGTACTATCACTCTCCATATTCTTTTATATGTAATGTCACATCTGCCTTTATTGTCTCTATAATGGTTTGGTTCTCTCATTGATTACAATGACTACATCCTAATTAATCTCCCTGTTTTAGACTTGACCCCATTCACTCAAGCCATTTCCCTATGCTGCTATAATGGCTTTGCTCAATGTCAATATTAATATGTCCATGAAAGTATTTCAAACGGTGCTCAAAATCATTTAATATGTTTCTATAAAGTTCAATATAGAAACTATATATTTCTGGATTAGTGGTCCCCAACCTTTTTGGCATCAGGGATTGGTTTTATGAAGGACAATTTTTCCATGGACCGGGGTGGGAAAAGGGGATGGTTTCAGGATGATTCAAGTGCATTAAATCTATTGTGCACTTTATTTCTATTATTACTACATTGTAACATATAATGAAATAATTACACAACTCACTATTATATAGAATCAATGGGAGCCCTGAGCTTGTTTTCCTGTAACTAGACAGTTCCATCTTGGGTTGATGGAAAACAGTGACACATCATCAGGCATTAGCTACCCATAAGGAGCATGCAACCTAAATCCCTCACATGTGCAGTTCACAATAGAGCTTGCACTCCTATGAGAATTTAACGCCACCCCTGATCTGACAGGAGTTGGAGCTCAGGCAGTAATCTGAGCGATGGGGAGCAGCTATAAATACAGATGAAGCTTTGCCCACTCTCCTGCCGCTCACCTCCTGCTGTGTGGCCCAGTTCCTAACCAGCAATGGACTGATACCAGTCCATGACCCTAGGGTTGCTGACCCCTGCTCTAGACAACATTCGAAACCCATTGATCTACTTTGTTTCATTTCCACTCATCCAACTTCACAACTCCAGGTGTACTGAATTACAAAGTTTGCAGTTCCTTGAATTCAGTCAGCTTCTAGTTCTGCGGCTGTCCTTCACTTGACCACCGCCCTCCCCAAGCAGTTCGAGAGCCCCGTGTAGGTATCTCCACCATAATAGTTTTCACATTGCTTAACTTACAATATTGCTCCACTTTGATGTTTGCTTCATTACACTGTAATCTACTGGAATGCGGAGAGAATGTCATATTCTTCTTGTAGTCTTTAAGACTCAAGACCTAAAGATATACAATGTCCTAGGTTTTTTACTGTATTTATCAGGATGAGTAGGAAGTATATTTTCTCTGTCTTGTCTTGAAACCAGATGTCTCTAAATAACATTTATCAAACTTTTAGTCCAAGACTTCATATCATGTTTGTTAACAAATTTAATTTTTAAAAACCTTTCCCCTATGAAGTAGATATTATTAACCCCATTTTACATACAAGGAAATTCATAACAGTAACTGGCTCATGGCAGTCTGATTACAGAACCAAGCCCTTAAACAAACAACAGTACTTCTATAAGCAATACTCAAACTTAGATGCTTTTTCAATTGTTTGCAATTTGAGTAGTTTAATATTGAAAATATTAACACCCTAGATTTTTTTTAAGAGTACCTTTAGACAGTTTTTTTTAAAAAAAATAAGAGTACTTATGGAGGAAGCAATATGATGATCCAAATGGGGGAAGAATCTGCAGGCAATGTTACACAGAAACAGAACTGATGCAGGAAATAGCAAATCAGCACAGTCAAGAGGCAGTTACAGGTAATGAATCTACCAATATCAATTGGCTAAGTTAGAGATTGCTTACTGTGGCTGACTAGACCAAGTGACCTGCAGGAAGCCTCCCAGCTCAAAGATTTGATATTCTACTATGACAAGTTTCTTATTTCATTTTAAATCAAATCATTTCAGTAAAGGTCAATTGAATGCGTTCTATGTGCAGTCTCTCCACCCTTCCCCTAAATTCATGGGCAGGTTTTAAGTGGTTTGTCTCCCCAGATTATAAAAGTAACTAATGCTCACTGTAAAAGTACTAAATAATATACTTTGGAGTTTTCTTCTTTCTATATACAAACATACTTATTATGTAGTTTAATAGTTTGCCTCTGTGTTGAGGATTGCGTTATGAGTTTTTTCCAAGGGCCTGAGGAATTCTCAAAAATTATGGTAATGATGGCATAATATTCCATTCAATGGCTGTTCAATAATAAAATTAATCCTGTGTTGTTACTAATTGCCTTTTACAACATTGTCATTATTTTAAACGATCCTAGGATGATGTCTCTTGCAGACAAATATTGGCCACACTGTTTTCTAATTACATTTGCAGGCTAGGTTCCCACAAACACATGCGTGCACATTAAAATTGAATAATCAAATTGCTTTCTGGAAATACTGAATTAATCTATATTATCATCAGCACTCCCTAAATCTAACATCTAACTCCTCTCAACACAAATTACTCTCAATCTTCTCCAGTTTTTTGTTTTTTGTTTTGTTTTTTAGATGGAGTGTTGTTCTGTTACCCAGGCTAGAGTGCAGGCATGCAATTGTGGCTTACTGCAACCTCTACCTCCTGGGTTCAAGTGATTCTCCTGCCTCTGCCTCCCAAGTAGGTGGAACTACAGGCAGGCGGTCACCACGCCCAGCAATTTTTTTTTTTTTTTTTTTTTTTTTTTTTAAGTAGAGATGGGGTTTCACCATGTTGGCCAGGATGGTCTCGATTTTTTGAGCTTGTGATCTGCCCTCCTTGGCTTCCCCAAATGCTGGGATTACAGATGTGAGCCACCATGCCTGACCAATGTTCTTCAATTTGAAAAGTGAAACATAGTTTTAATTTTGGTTTCTTTGGTTACTAGTATTAAGCCACACATACCCTCCCCTACTTAA